AAGAAGTCAAAATGTTCCAATGTTTCTCCAAAGTCATTTGAAGTAAATCCAACGTCTGTGTTCGTGGACTGTTGTTTGAGACAGAGATTGTTTTTTCTGAAACGTGGTTCTAACGTCAGACTGTGATACAGCAGCGGTCCTAACCCGTTACTGACGACCGTCGTTGAAGGATGATTACGTTTTCAAAATCAATCATCTTTTAGACTTTATTCTGTTAGTATCAGAGTGTGGATGACCTTTGACCTGTGGTTTGGAAACATTTCCAGATTATCTTTGAATGAGAAATTAAAGGGATATGAAGTCAAGTACATTTTCTTAATTTCCCAAAGAAAACTCTGGTGGGAAGATAAAGTTATATTCATTCACTGTGGTCCGATACCACATGATCTGTGGACCCGTACTGGTCCCTGGAGCAGGGGTTGGGCATCCCTGCTATACAGTACATAAGTTGAAGTTGAACCACAGATGAAACTGTCTGTCTGGATAAAGTCCCAGCATGCACCTGGCCCTCCACCTGTTACTTTAGCGGCACCGTCTCTGGGCTTCATCTCTGGGCTTCATCTGTGGGCTTCATCTGTGGGCTTCATCTGTGGGCTTCATCTCTGGGCTTCATCTGTGGGCTTCATCGGTGGGCTTCATCTGTGGGCCTCATCTCTGGGCTTCATCTGTGGGCTTCTTCTCTGGGCCTCATCTGCTCTGGGCCTCATCTGTGGGCTTCATCTCTGGGCCTCATCTGTGGGCTTCATCTGTGGGACGCTCGGGGGCCGACGTAGACGGGTTTCCCTCATGTCCACCGTCTGTCTCTGCAGCTGTTGCTGCTAATGACACTTGATCCCAACTATGGACACATGTCTCCATCAAAGAGGAGCGAGAGAGAGAGAGAGAGAGAGAGAGTGACAAGACAGCACCATGGCTGTCGGTCACCTCGTAAACACCGCCTCGCTGTGATCTCCGTCGGTCACAGAGGCAACACGTTCCCACAAACTGGAAACATTTTCCACCTGCAGATGTTGCGGTGACGAGACTGGTCAGTCTGTGGACAGAACACCTGGTCTGTTGGCTACGTCAGTGGTTCTGGACTCACGGTGATCACATGGTCAACATGTGTCGTGATTTTACAGGATGCCAAGGTGAAACGTCTTCTGGGAATTTTTATTTTTATTTCATTTTTGACATCAGAAGATTCTAAGATGCTGAAGCGACTTCACTTCCTCAACACAGGAAAGACAAAAGCTTTGATTGGTCAGATCAGGATAGAGTTTCCAATCACACCTCCTCAGTGGTCAGGTGACGATCCATAACATTTCTAAGACTGACCGTGTGAAAAGTCTTCAGAGATTTGTTTCTCTGATTTTGACGAACCGCCGACAGCAGAAGATTCTGAGATCCCCAGGGTCACTGAGGTCATGTAGGGCGCGCCACAGTCGGTGCCTGGAGCCATAGGTTATTTCTGTTGTGAGAATCCTGTGAGTCATATTTAGCCAAGGTTATAGTTGTTGTTTTTTTATCTAAAAAGTTATTAAATAGGTTTCAAACATATTTTCCCAATTTCTATATATTTTAAAATACAAACAATTACTGGTGTAATTTTCATGTATTTCATTTTTTCTTTCTACTCAAAGTTCTCTTTGAGATTATTTGTAGTTAAATCCAACATTTTATCAATACTTTGAGATAAAAACATATAATAATATAATAATATATAATATAATATAATTGATATTTTTAAATCGTAAATAATGAATTATCCAAATTTAATGTGTTTAGTTAACGTCAATATCATTTAAAATATTATAAAGTATTTTCTTCATCAAATATAACAACTTCAGGTTTACTAAAATACACCTTTGATTACACGATAAGACAGTGCCCTCCAGTGGTTGTCACGGCTTGTCTCCATAGTATTACATTTAAAATCTTTATTTTATTGAATGATCTTTGTAGTGAAAAGTAAATCACTGCAGATTGTCTGATGAAAACATCTCTTTTTTTTATTTCAAAGCAAAATGAAAACCACAGTGTGTTTTGTTTCTTATATTTTCTTTCCTTTTTTTAGTAAACTACTTTTATCAGAAACTACAGAAGCCAAACAAGGACACAAAAAAAAACCAACAAAAACGACTGTTGTTCATTTGTACATGGAATGTAAAAACAGAGTGAATTAAATTATTTGATCTAAAAATCAATTATCAGGTGGAACAAAAACAACACTCACAGAACTTTCTTCTTTTTCTCTTAAAATACCAAACTCCACCTACAGCCACGTGGCTTTTCTACACCATCAGCAACAAACAACATTTAAAAAAATGACAACAACACACCTCCTCCTCCTCCTCCTGCCCCAGTCCTCCAGTCCTCCAGTCCTCCTCTTCATCACTTGCCGTCCAGTTTGGCCATTTCCTGCAGGTAAATCCCGATGCTCTCACTGTCAAACAGGACAAAGTAAATGTTTTTCAGGGATGAGCTGGTGGACGACACAAAGTGGTTGGAAATGGCCTTGAGGATGAGCTGAGCCGCCGTCTGCTTTGGAAAACCATTTCTGTGAGGAAGAAGAAAAAAAAGTTTAGAGACTCCAGATCCTTAAGAACAAAAGTTACTGTAAAATAAAAAGATTTCTTTTCTTTTCAGTTGTAAGGAAAATATAGCGTGATATTAAAAACCGTCGTCTGCTTCACTACATCTTATTTCACTTGTGCCGTGTGTCGCTCACCGTCCTGCAGGAAGTGAAGGGAAAGCCACAGACTTGAGCTTCTTCTCCTCGGCTGCAGACAGACAGTTCTTCACCGTCTTCTCCAGCTGGTCCTCACACTTCTCCGACCCCCACTGAGGGACGTTACAGTGGATGATGAAGCGAGCTGCCATCCCATTGGCTGGACTCATTGCCACTGAACCAACAGACACACAAACACACGTTACACACACGTTACAACAGTTTGTGTGTGTGTGTGTAGAAGGAAGTTCAACATCTTGTCTTTGCCAGGACAAAATGTCACATCACCAAATTCTCTGTACCTGACGCCACCTCTAGGGGTCCCTGTGTTTTTCGTATCTCCTTCACTCCATCCTGGAATTCCCGACCTCCGGCTTTTTCTAGTGCGTTACCTGAACACAGACCTTTTTTAATTTGTTTTTTTTTCTCTTCATTCTGCAGACGTTACAAATGAACAACCTCCTCCTAGAAATGGAATTCATCTTCCAACCTGTTTAACTTTTTTTTTTAAACTTGAAAAGTTGTGAAAAGCATTGTATCGTCTGCATATAACAGAACTAATGTTTCCTGTTGACATCGTTCTCACCCAGTCCGTCTTTCAGGTCCATCTCTGCGTTTGTCGGGTTTATAATCGCCTCCACTTTTATTGTTCCGATCTTGCTGGCTTCGCTCTCTGTTAGTGAAAGCTGTGGGTTCACACAGTGGTGGGATTATCTACGTGTTGGAGTGAGTGGAGAACCGAGGACGCTGCTCTGGGTTCGTCCTACCTTTTGTCCCAGGAACAGCGTCTTTGCAGACAGGATGGTGAATCCGTCTCCAGGACCGTCGTCTGCCGTGGAGTTCGGTGCAGAATCTTTGTCGTCCGTGTTCTTTGACATGACCAGAAGAGAAACATTTGACTGTTGTTTCTGATGTGTCAGCCTCAAACACTCGCCACCTGTTGGACTGACTGACTGACCTTTGGCTTCCGTCCTCGTTTGCCTTTGACCTTTTTGAAGGTCTTTACAGGCTTCTTGCGTTTGGGCACCTCTTCCTGTTTCTCTGGGACGGACGCCTGACTGTCCACTTTCACTCGTGCCCCTCGTTTCTTCGACAGCAGCTCTGGGTGGATGCGAGGCAAAACCCCACCATTTGATATGGTTACCCCCCGAAGAAGCTAAAAGGATAAAAAAGGTTCCGGGGTCAGAGAGAACAGAGAACTAGAAAAACTGGTTTAAATTCCTTTAAAATGTGAAAAAGAAAAGTTGAAGGAAACTGTCTTATTTTAGCTGTTAAATATCTGATACCAAACGGCACCGATGGCTGAATTAACTCTCAGTTAGCTCACAGGGACAAAGACGCTATTAGTCCGCTGCTGCCCCATGTGGCAGGACTGTGTCACTGACATTGTTGCCATGTGTTGTCTAACAGGAAACCTAAGGCTCACCTTTCATTTTGGTGCTGATAAACAGTATGTAACTTTTGGGTGTTACCTGGTTCAGTTCCTCGTCATTGGCCACAGCCAACTTGATGTGTCTGGGAGTTATTCGACCTTTCTTGTTGTCCCGCGCTGCGTTTCCTGCTAACTCCAAGATCTCAGCTGAAAGGAAGAAACAAAGCGTTGTTGGAAACATCAGAACAACAAGAACGTCACAGTCCCAGCTGTCAGGACCTGAACCCACTGGTGGCTCCTCACCTGCCAGGTACTCGATGACAGCGGCCATGTAGACCGGAGCTCCCATGCCGATGCGGTACTTGTGCGTGCCGGTGCGCAGGTATCTCATCATCCTGCCCACAGGAAAGATGACACCAGCCCTGGAGGAGCGGGACAGTTTGGTGGCCTTCTTCTTCCCCCCTCTGGCTGACATTCTGCTCTACACACAGGAAATATAACAACACAAAAACACAAAAGCACCATTTGTAAGAAAAGTTTCAATCAAGTTTCCAGTCAATTTGACTTACTTTTGGACTTTCTTTTTGTTAAAATGTTTGGAGGGATTGAAGAGGAACTGGGAAGTTCTGGATTTAAAAAACTTCAAAAATGAAAACAACTTTGTTTAAACATGGTGTTAAATGTTTAGAGATATAAAATCTCCACAGGCATTTCTCCCATCCCTTCACCAAACAGTAAACACTTCAACACTGATTCTTATTATCTTTTTTCATGGCAGTGGAAGAGCAGCGTGCTTCAGTGGAGCTCAAAATGTGTTCATTTTCAGATCATTGAATCTGGGGGGATTTTTGAAACAAGTACAAGTACAAATGAATTGCCTTAAAGTGTGTAATAGATTTGAATTTAAGTGATTTGTTTCATAATTTCACTAAATAAATAATTTAGAAATAATTTAACAAAATGTATTTAAGTTAGTAATTAATAGTCAGTCTTAAGGGTCTAAACATAAAGAAATGCAGAAACAATACCAGGGGCTGCTGATATTTAATCGATTTGAGGTTGTTGGGTTTTTTTTAAATATTAACTGTAAAAATCTTCAAATACCAGATCGTGGACTATAGTTGATTTATATATATATATATATATATATATATATATATATATATATAACATATTCAGACCAGTTTCCTGTTTAAAAAGCCGTTAGCTAAGGCCTTATAGCACCGGCTGGTAACACTCACATGTCATATGTACGATCGGACTAATTAATGTGGCGCATTCTTCCTGCCCCAGCCTGACCCCCTTGGCGGAAGGATACATCCATACATATCTGTATGCATAGATATATACAGTAGATATGTATGAGCGCGTGCAGTGTAGAGGAGTGCGCGTCAGCATCGCCAACCTAAACTCACGTCACTGTTAGCCTAGCCGTACACGGTATCGCATAAATTCTCTGATGTATAATCTTAATGAATGTAAACAGCAAGGCTGTCGTTGCGACGATGATAAGCACAGAGAACATTGTTGGTTATATTTTATATTTTATCTGCAGCCATTAAACAAAATGGCCGCCGATAAAGGTATGTGTTAGCTCTATCAGGTTCTGCTCCGTTAAATTAGCACACGCAAGTTAGCATTTGCTACATCAACAACAACAACAGAGATATTTGACCCCAGCGTCCCTAATAAATGTCTTTTTAAAAGCCCCGCCCACCTCTTCCACTTATCACTTCAGACGTATGGAATAACAGAACAAGCGAACCGCTCCTCACAGTGGCTGTAAAGCATAAAAAATGTAGAACCCTCCTCCTCCTCCTGCTCCTGCTCCTCCACCTCTTCCTTCGCCCTCCTCCCCACCAAGTTTCTACCTGTTTTCTCCTCCGCACACAGGAATTAAAGCTGCACCTCCCTTTCTTTCTTCTGCTGCTGCCGAGGCTGCACACAGACTGTTGTGGTGGCTGTTTCTCTGCTCTCTCTTGTCTCTGTGATCCTGTGAGATTCTCTCAACCTTAGGAAAAAAAAAAGAAAGAATGGAAAAAAATCTCAGTCACAATGAGGATATAGCTAGAGTGGTTGGAGGTTGGATCAGAGCTGCTGATGCTGCAGAGGGGAAAAATTCAACAGAAGGAACGGAGAGAAAAACACACCTTTCTGAACGTGGAATCGGTGCTGGAATAACAACATGTTGTGACATTGTGTCAAATTATGGTCTAAATGCAGTAAATAAATGATTATATGAATCATGTCGTTTTTCCGCATTTAGAAGTGTTTATTGGTCATAAGAAATACAAAGGTAATTTCAGTTGAAGTTTTCCAATCCTTTTAACACTCGAAATAAGATGAAACTTTATTATCCAATACACATGTACAATTGATCCAATAACATAAATTATTAACAAAGAAATACGGCTGTTTTAGTTAAATGTATGGTACACGTCAAACACGACCGTAGGCTACAGCTGTTAAAATCGAATTATGGAAAATCCAAATCTATACGACAATAACTTTTGTTTTCTATTTTTTCATTTCTTGACGTAACGAGGACAGACTTTCACTTTTAAGTCACAAGAGGGCAGTAAAGCACCGCTCTGTAATCCATATGAGATATCGTTGGTATTCTACTTTTATAACTTTTCTATTTATATATCATTGAATGGAAAGTCCATGTCTGTCAACTTCCTGGTTCAACAGACGGACACAGCACTGGTCCAATCACAGGTGCACTATTGGCCAAACAACTGTGTCTGTACTGATCCTGATACAACTTTCTCATGAAATAATTAATTTTAAACACACTTGACGTGAAATACAAATAAAGAACTAGAATGTCAACATATATTTTTATATTCTTGGACTGTTTTTAGTGAATTCCGAATATTTCCCTTTGACGTACAGTATATAGTGTTTGGTCAACATTAAAGCGTGTTTCTATTATAAAAAACAATTTATCTTTGCTCGTTGTTCTTTATGTATTTCATCAAAGTTGATTTTCTGGACCGGGAACAGAAATGAAAAACGCATGTTCCCATACCGGGAGTCGAACCCGGGCCGCCTGGGTGAAAACCAGGAATCCTAACCGCTAGACCATATGGGACAGTGCGGGGAACAGGGGCACTAATCCCCCGAGACCGGAGCCGCAGCACCGGTGGGGGGCGCCTTTTATCAACTCGGAGAAGAACCAGACTCCTGCTAACTTTACCGATCAACTTATTACTAACCTGTTGAACTGCGGTATCTCTGTAGATACCCAACAATGGACTTAGTAATGTACAGAAATATCTATTATATTAACATTTATTATATTATCATTTATGACGGAAATGTTACTGGATCATTTACTTTGAATTTGGACACAAACATTAGTTAAAGTCAGAATATAAAAAACTGTTCTTAAATATATATGTTAATACATTTTTCATTTAATGGGAGGAAGAACTGATGATACATGGTTTCCTGACTGGGATTTAAGTTTAAGTTTAAGTTTAAGTATTTCAGCCATTATTGCCCCCCCTTACCCCCCCAAGCCCCTCCCACATCTTCACATAAACAGCTATTCCTTCAGATCTCCTTAAAAACTGTTATTTACACTAGAAACCACTAGTCTGACTCCACATGGGGGGTTATCATGATCAATCATTCCTTCTTTGTCTTTACTTTTATGTAAATGATCAGAGTTTATGCTGATGACATCACCTTCTTCCAAATCTCCCAGACAACAGTGCGTACTGTACCTGGAGCCACCGCAGTAAAACTGTGTGAGATAAACCTTGTCACCTTTGACACAGCTATAAATCACTAAATAAATGTATTGTGTTACATTGTAACAGAGCAAAGGTAACGATTGGTCGGAGGAGGAAGTCTCCGCCGACAACCACAGGTGAGAGAAACTTCACAAACCATACATTTGACTTTATTGTTTTGGACCAAGTTCTGTTTCACTCTATATATTATATGTGTTTCCAGTGTTGTCTTCCTTTGTGTTAGCAGTTACTGTACTGTACTGTACTGTGCTGTACTATACTGTGCTGTACTGTGCTTTACTGTACTGTGCTGTACTGTGCTGTACTGTACTGTGCTGTACTGTGCTTTACTGTACTGTGCTGTACTGTGCTGTACTGTACTGTGCTGTACTGTGCTTTACTGTACTGTGCTGTACTGTGCTGTACTGTACTGTGCTGTACTATACTGTGCTTTACTGTACTGTACTGTGCTTTACTGTACTGTGCTGTACTGTGCTGTACTGTACTGTGCTGTACTATACTGTGCTGTACTGTACTGTGCTGTACTGTACTGTTTTTCTGTTCAATACTTGAACAACCACGTCATCTTTACTTTTCCACCTCTGAACTACAGATCCTCATATTTAGCTAATGTTTAGCTAAGTGTACGCTACATACATCACATACATCACATTTGGTTGTGTGCTGTGAAAAAATAACTCTTTTGCGGTTGTTGGCAGTTTGGTGGTGAATATATCCTTTGGTCTTTCAGATCTTCTACCTCCAGGATGAAGTTTGAGAACATCCTCGAGGAGATCAATGGCTTTGGGCGGTACCAGCTCCTCCTGGTCTTCCTGACCTGCCTGCCCAGAATCATCCTCCCGTGT